ATCGGTCTATACGATTCGAAGTCGATTAGCTAATGAAATATTAAAATTCAATTATTTCAAAAACGAGTTTTATTGTATCAGTTTGTATCGACAAATAATTCACTACGGCAAGAAAATAGTGGTTGCTATTTAAAAACAATATGTCCCCTTTGACTGTACAGAAGTATGCTACTGACCCCAAATTGATGTACGTGGATTGGTAGCAAACTTTTTATAATTATGGATGTCATAAAAAGCTTCCTTAAAAAATGTTTTAAAGATAAAATTTTCACCCTGTATAAAAAGCATATCCGGAAAACGGTTAGCCTCGCGGTTAGCATTACGAAAAAAAACCAATAAGACCGACAAAAATAAGTCTTTTGTTAAGGGATACCCGGGGATACCTATACAAAATACAAACAAGTTAAAAAGTAATCGTAAACGATTTACATAAAGCGCATTTCCACTTGCATTCATTTCCCATTTGTAAGATGCAACTTCTGTTAAAATCGTAAAAATCCAGCCACAAATATGAAAGATAGCGTTGCACATGGGCAATCCATTTTTGACGTGCTACTTCAATTTCAGTTTATGAGAAGAATTTTATTTCAATGCTTTTCTAAATAAGAAAGTTGGAACTGCGCATGCGCAAACCTAGATTTTGAAAGTAATGTTAGATTTTCCTTTGTTCCAAGCGCCTAAGTATCAAATTTCACTTAAATGCTTCCATAGATAAAAAAAGTTGGCACTGCGCATGCGCAAAACCAAATTTTGAAATTGGCGTTTGATTTTCCTTTATCCCAAGTGCCTATGTATCAAATTTCGTATAAATTCTTCCATAAATAAAAAAGTTGGCACTGCGCATGCGCAAAACCAAATTTTGAAATTGGCGTTTGATTTTCCTTTATTCGAAGTGCTTATGTATCAAATTTCGTTTGAATTCTTCCATAAATAAAAAAGTTGGCACTGCGCATGCGCAAAACCAAATTTTGAAATTGGCGTTTGATTTTCCTTTATCCCAAGTGCCTATGTATCAAATTTTGTTTAAATTCTTCCATAAATAAAAAAGTTGGCACTGCGCATGCGCAAAACCAAATTTTGAAATTGGCGTTTGATTTTCCTTTATTCCAAATGCCTATGTATCAAATTTCATTCAAATACTTTTATAAGTAAAAAAGTTTGCAATTCGGTTTATAAATGGTCGAGATGCGAAAAGGGCACTGTGAATTTTGAATCGATTCAATTCAACTTTTGGCATTACGTATTATATGGCTAAATCTATGCCCATATTGAATTTCATGCAATTCAGTTCATAACTAACGGAGATGTAAAAGCGATCGAACATTTCTAAACAAAGTTATCGTTCACACGGACAGATAGATTGACAGACAGACAAAGGAACAGACGGAGAGACCAACCGGCAGGCGACAGATAGCAATGCAAAATTATAAACGATCTCTAGGATCGTTAATAAACGGCAAAAGTGTAAAATTATAGAACATGTAAAAAAACGGTTTTTTGTTTTTTTTACAATAACTTTTTTTGTAAGCGGTACAGAAAAAAATCCTTCCTTGGTACAAGACTCGACACCATAACGAACCAAATAGCGAAAAAAGTAGAACAATAGCTCTTAAGATAAAAAAACTAGTAGCGTCGCAAAGTTAGCGGACGGACGGACGGACGGACGGACGGACAAAGTGGCCACAATAGCGCATTTTTTTTTTATTTTTGTGGAAATGCGCTAAAAAGGATAGGCTGCCCTCGAGAACACCCTATATACCTAAAAATACGTTTTAGGCTTCCCCTTAGGCTTCTCGTACCAACAAACCGTTACCATTAATCTCAACCATTGAGGCTCTATCGTCCGCTTACAGAAGGTGGATTACCTGTATAATAAAAATGATTCAACTGGATAGGTATCTAAAACTTGGAAATCATAATATTCCGTTAATATTCTTAACGAAAACCCGAGAGAAAACCCTCGAAAAAACCCATGATCTGATAAATAAGCACTCCAGATTTCACATTCGTCGTAGCTTAAACCAACTAGTTAAATAAAATAGGATAAGTAAGAGCAAGGGTAAGAGTTAAAGTTGATATACTGAGTGTTTCTTTAATTACCTTAAAAGCAGAGTATATTTTCTGTTTTTCAGAGAAAAAAATTGATAACAATGTCTGATCTCGTGCCTGATGAAACAAATATTGCGCATTTTTTTAAAATAAAACATGGCGGATTGAAATTTTCCGAACTTGCAGGGTACATACAAGGACTTTTGGGGTTGTATCGATTGAATTTCTAAACGATGGCCTTTTTTGTCGAAAAGACCGGGATATTGCACAATTAAGAGCTTACTTGTGATTCAAATTCGTAAAAAAAACACTTTTTTAAAATTGTGCTAAATCCTTAAGTTTTAGAGATAAATGTTATATAGCAAAAAAGTTTCCTCGTCACAAGAGCTTTCAATAAAAAAAAAGAAAATTAAAATCGGACTATTAGGAGCAGAGATACAAAAAAATGTATTGCGGCTAATGGCGCCATTTTAACGGCTACCATTTTGGTTTCCTGCACGGATTTTCGAATGGCTCCCTATCTCAAAAGTTGCCTTTTGGTATTAACTATTACCACAGAAAGTGGCATATTCCAATCAAAAAGTGCAGTATTTTCCCCATTCTAGCCATGTACCCGACGTACTATTTGGCAGTTATCGTGTTCACAGACAGACGGACACCATCGACTCCACAATAAAGCTTGCATCGCTTTGCTCTGTCGCTTAATAAATGAATGAAGCCTGAAGTAATTTTAACAATAGGCAAAGGCTTGTAAATGCGTTTTTTTTTATTTAAACCTGCATCCACCTTTCGGTTATTAGCAGCGGAAATTTAGGTACAATTTGGTACCTACATGTAGATATCCCTAGATCTGTGAGGTAGTTAAAGTTATAATTCGCATGTTCTTTGAAATATATAATTTTACCATTGGTTTTAGGTTAATTAGAATTTAGAACACATACAGGATGCCCTATGAAAAAAATGTAAATTTTTGGTCCTCTAATTTGTCAGCCCATCGTAAATATAAAATAATCGTAAATATAATAAAAATAAAATATAAATAAGTTCATCATTGCCCCTAAATCTTGTCCTTTTTAGTGTTCTTTTGAGATTCGGGAACAAAAAATAGTTACTGGGTGCCACATCTGGACCATAAAAGGCGGATGTTCAATTTCTTCGAAGCCACAATCAGCTACAGCAGCTGTTGAACGTCTGAACTTGTAATCTGATGCATATTGTCGTGGAGCAACAAGATACCTTGCGCCCTAGGGCCATGAATCAGGTTTGCAGAATACTCTCCCGTTACCGTACTACCCTTATTCACATAATCAATCAATTCCTGAGAGTCCCAAAAATTATTACCTTTTCCTGCAGAAGGGGTGACTTCTTGGGAGGATCGGAGGCCTTAATATAGCACGGCATCGACCCTTGTTTCGATTCAGGATCATAATGACGAACCCAGGTTTGATCTCCAGTGAGAAGTGGATTGATAATAAAATCGGCGAAAGCATTCGCGGGACCTATTCTGAATCTCGTAGTGCTTTCTATAGTCTTGCATCCTCCAGTACCAAACTGTTGGTTTTTGCAACAACATCTGAAGTGATTCCGTTAACAGGGGGCCCTAGACGGGGATCATCCAATGGGTGCGGAAAAGTATATTGGAAGCGATAAGACGGTCAATGTACTTATGCGCGTTTACCAGATCATTCCAACGGCAACAATTTGAAATCAATCGAACCAAAACTGTAGAAGAAAATAGGATAAAATTGAAAACTAGCCCCAGATGACTCCACATCATGTAGCCCCGTCCCTAATGTTATTAATTACACTGCCCCGGTAGGCGCATATGCTACCGGCCGGCCGGCCGGCCAAAGTTAGATTAAATAAGCTACCTTACTACAAATAAATTTGCAAAAATGCGCTAAAAAGAAATGTACAGTAAAAAAGTACACAGACAATGAAATTCTTAAAAAACTAATGATATTCAAAATAAACAAATTAAAATCAAGAATTAAAAACAATAGGCGTACTAAATTATTCGTCTATGGAGTAAAAACAATACTTTCAAAAATGGGCTTTCAAACTTACCGAAACAGAAAATACCAAATTTACTCTAAATTCTGTGCAGATTTAAAATTGAGTAAAACCATAGAGCAAAACCAGAAGTAAATCATAATTAAAGATCAGATCAGTATTTTATTATCAAAGTTCAAAACTACAAATCAAACCTTTATTAAAAGCTTTCTTTATAAAATTCAAATAAAATTTGTCATTTGAGTACCCTAACTCAAAATAGACTAGAGGCTGCACATCTACACTATAGCAGAAAGCTGCTAGTGAAAATTTGAAATCTCTATAGCTATTGTAGGTAATTGCTGAGATCTCAGCTGGACAGCCAGCCATGACGAATATAGGAACATTTAAAAAAACACCTTATTATGACACAGCCGGCCAGATAGATTTAATGACCCTTTGCTTTGACAAATTCAGATAAATTCATTTAATTAGCCAGTTTCTCGCCTTTCGTGGCTCATGTATCAGAAATTTAGAGTTGTAATGGCGGTCGAAGTAGTTTTTGCACAATTATGTAAAGATATATAGGTGTCGTCCAAAAAGATTTTACAGAAAAGCATTTTTCAAATAAAATATTGACAAGTAACGGCAAAAGCCTGTTAGGTACCTACTACGATCACTGTTGAACATTTTTGACTTATTCTGCCAAAGCTGCAATCGCCTGCATTACATTTTTGGGAATTTTATTTTTATTTAATGGTAAATGAGAGAATTATAATTCAAAACTATAAGGGTGGAAAATTTCCTCGAGATATTTCGGGAAGTAAACTACCCTCAGATTCGAATAAAAGAAATGTCGCAAACGTAATTTGGACTAACAAGATTAAACGTACATGCGCGTATATATTTAACGTAACGCCTCTCGTTCGACAGGTTGTTAATAAATACAACACGCGTAATGAGTACAAATTACTCTTCAATAGTTTTTCTCACCTGAAGGGTTAGAAAAATGGTCGCGCGCGATTTTTCTATACGGCAAATTCCTTACGCGCGACTTCTTCACGTACCCGACGAAGACGACTTTACGATACTCGATGAATCCAATCCGAACCAACTTAACCAACTGCCGCAATTCGGCAACGCTTTCTACGAAACGACAAACGTAACCGAGTAAGCTCTTTTTTTTGTTAATCCAAAATTGAAATTAAGCAATTGATTGTTCCTTAGCGATCCTTGCGGGTCATCGCTGACGTACCAAACTTTAAACCACTGCAGCGGCTCAAATTCAAGTGGCACGATGGAATTTCACGTTAATAGTCCAGTAATTGCTACGAATAGGAAACGAAAGGTGTCCATTCAGTAAGTAAATGCATTTTTGCAATTTAAATTATAGTTGTTGGTGGGGTGACCAGAAATGAAAAACTTCAGTGCGCGGAAAGGACAATTTATGTAAATGTCGAGGTAAAAACTCCTTAGAAAGTCTCGTATGCATTTATTATTGATATTTTAAATGCAGTTTTATTAATTATTAACGTATCTCAGTGGTAATGAAATCCACATACTCGCGGCAGTTGTCTCTTTGTGTCTACCATTTTTTTCTGAACATTTGGCCTGCCACTGTTCGTCACAAATTTTGAATATTAGATTAATAGGGCAAAATATCTTTGCTTTGTACTAAAGAACAATATCCGTCTGTCCATCCGCTGCTATACTTATTTGCCGACATTTAAGCAGCTGACAGTACCTACCTACCAAACAAATATTAGACGTTTAGATTTTTTTAAAAAGAACACAAAAGCTAAGCGAAACGCTTTCCTTTTTCTCACCATATCAATAACTGAGAAAAATAACTCAAAAATTCAATAAACTAGAGTCTTGTTAGACAACAGTTTTATCTTCAATTTCTTTGCAGTAATATTTTTCCATTTCTATATAATATTAACTTAAAAAAACACTAAAAATATAATGGGGAACGTTTATAATCTTATTAAAACTCAGTCGTTACTGCCATGGGTCGCTATCCGGGCCCCAAGATCAATAGCGTCCTTTCATTTAGACCAAAGAACTCACCACTACGCTCCATAACGATAATATGGATGTCTCGAAACCAAGGCTGTATAAAAATCAGTATTGAGCGCTAAATGCTTCTTATTTTGCCACTTTTTCCTATATTTAACTTCCATCCTATTCAAATCGTTCTATGTCGTCTTTTTGTCTATTTTATTATTTCTTCATTTTCGTAGCTTCTACTTTAAATTCTATGCTCTTTGACACATTAACCTATCTAAATTTTTTGATTGCAAGATTTCTTCATAATCTATTGCACTGTGCAATGGCGGCTAGCCCAAATTACTTTAGTTTTTTTTCCTTTTCAAATTCTGTTCTGAGTTCCGAGTTTCCGACACAACAAGCAGATCCGAACATTGACTTAAAACTCCAATAAAGTTGAAAGACTGGAAGACCTCAATCAAATTCCGAAAATTCCCATGAAATTACTATTCAAATTTTGGACAAAATTGGAAATAACATTCGGATAAAAAGAAAGATCTGACATAAAAAATAAAGCTCTAGCTAGGTTTCAAGTTGGGGTTCAAATTGGCACTGACAAGAATTTATTTTAACACACATTTGAAAAAGGAAATGAAATACAAGAGAATACTGTAAGAAAAATTTAAGCCTAACGGTGCCTTTTGACTACAACACACAGTGTTGGCAAACGGTCGATCTAAAAACAAATTAAGAGATCTCACAAATCACTCACAGTTCTGTTAATAATAATCCAATAAACGCGAAATTTTTCTCTGTCGCCAAAACTGATAACGCACCTGCATCGCTTATATCCTACGTGACATTTTTTTTGTGGAAAAACCAATTAATTCTAGTCCGATAACAATTTTTTCTCAACACCTAACCAGATAAAACTTAAAATTCGCGTAAATTTCGATCAAATGTTCCCTTAGTTACTCGTTTTAAATTTATTATACAAACAAATAGAATTAATGAATTAAACAATTACCGACTAAATTTACAATAAACAACTAATTCAACTAATTTTTCCAATTCTGCGCCTAGTTAAAAAAAATTCCACATATCCTGACTGTTATTTCCGATATTCAGACCGTTTTACGTTACCAACACGTATTTTCACACTACAAAGAGGCTCGCTCTCATTTTCGGCATTGTTTCAATCTAGACACGACATCCCCATGTAGTTTATTTATTTATTCATTTATTTATTACCCCTCTCTTGTTCTGGGCCCTTTCGCCCAATTACAGAGTGACCCGCATAATGCTTTTGCACTATCTTTCTAATTAATACTCTTTCCGTCATTCCAATTCTTGGTTTGCCTAAAACATTTTTCTTCTATTTTTTGCCTACTGCTTGTGCTTTAATTTTTTTCATATTCACTCCTCCATCTTGATTTTCAACACTTTTTTTTATTACAATAAGTTCGTTTTTTTCTGTTTTCGCAATTATTTCACTGTACCTACTTTATTAATTTCATTTTGTACTTTTTTTTCATTAGCTACTTAATTCTCCCGGCCGAGAAATCTCCATTTCTCTGTTGTTTCATGATTTTGTCAACTTCAGTCCTCTTTTATAATACTGTTAATACGTCTCACAAAAGTGCTCACTTACTTCAAAATACTCTTCTAGGTGCGTATATGCATTAACAAATGCACGGTTTTCTAAAAATCCCAGGAAATTTCATCTTCCTCTCTAGCTTTTAGTCCAGGAAATAGAGACTGAAAATGGACCATTTCCTGCAAAACGAGAAGTAGTTCCAATTTTGTTTGCATGTCATGAAAGAATATCTGGTGGTTAAGAATCCAAGTTTTCGACCTCCCACCCCTTGTGCTTCCCCCGCACCACCCTTAAAACGAAAGAAATTTGGTTGGTTTTTTAGTTTTTCAATCATATCTTTTTATAGATTCATTTTTCAAAAAAATATTGTTATCAGAAATTGTAGATTATAAAATTCTACAGAACTTTGTTATACACTACTTTTTTGTGAAATGTTTATTAAAAACGGTATAGATCTTCAAAATATAACCAACTCTCAAGCGCTATATCTTTTTTAATAAATATTTTACAAAAAGTAGTGTATATCAAAGTTCTGTAGAATTTTATGGTCTACAATTTCTGATAACAATATTTTTTTCTAAAGTGAACCATTAAAAAGACATGATTGAAAAACTAAGAAACCAACCAAATTTCAGGGGTTTTGGGGGTGGTACGGGGGAAACACAAGGAGTGGGTGGTCGAAAACTTAGATTCTTAACCACCAGAAGACTGGCTTGACATGCAAAAGAAATTGGAACTACTTCTCATTTTGCAAGTTAAAACCCTCTACTCCCTGGACTATTTACCTTATTTCTCTTTCTACCCCGGAAACGAAGTTATACTATTAGTAACCTGTCTGCTTCCGGATTTTCCGTCCTTCTCTATATAGTCAAATCTTTTTTCAAAGGCTTCAGGTTTAAATCACAGCCCTTGTTTCATTTTTCAATTTCCCAGAAGAAATAACATTCCGCTTGTTTTTCTCATTAAATCAATAAACTGTGTTGAAGCAAAGAGTAAAGTATTCTTTGGTTGAAGTTAGATAATTTACTTTACGATTATCGCCAACCGAACATTAAAAATCATGCAAAAAATTGCAAAGTGTGATAACCGTCTCCATACGCAATAATTGCTGCAATAATTATTCCACGAAAAATTACATTGCCTTATACGGCCTTTACATATTCTTCAATTGCTCACTTTTCATGGTGCTAAATCCAAAAGGTACACTTTTTAATAATATGTTATGTAGTAGCCACGTAGTTGCCATTAAAAACCAGGTGTCAAATTCTTGACAGAATAGCTTCCTAGGTGAAACCAAAAATTGCCAACATATGTACGTACATACAGACGGAAAAAATAAGAAAGGTGCATTTTTTACGCATGCATTTTGTTTGCTTTTATTAGAGGGACCTACCATCCAAATTTCGTTAAAATTGCTCCATAAATAAGAAAGTTGGATGTTGCACATGCGCAACACTATTTTTTGCGCATGCATTTTGTTAGCTTTTATTAAAAGGACCTACCATCTAAATTTCGTTAAAATTGTTCCATAAATAAGAAAGTTGCATTTCTGCGCATGCGCAACACGATTTTTGCGCATGCATTTTGTTTGCTTTTATTAGAGGGACCTACCATCCAATTTTCGTTAAAATTGCTCCATAAATAAGAAAGTTGGATGTTGCACATGCGCAACTCGATTTTTTGCGCATGCATTTTGTTTTCTTTTATTAGGAGGACATACCCTCCAAATTTCGTTTTAATTGTTCCATAAATAAGAAAATTGCCTTTCTGCGCATGCGCAACACGATTTTTGCGCATGAATTTTGTTTGCTTTTATTAAAGGGACTTACCATAGAAATTTCGTTTAAATTGCTTCAGAAACAAGATCGTTGCGTTTTGCACATATGCAACACAATTTTTTGACTTTGACAATTTTTTCTCCGTTTTTTGATAATATAACCCGGCCCAATTTTTTGTAGGTTGTACACAGGAAAATAAGGTCTTCCAAATAATAGAATAAAAATTTTAGGTTGCTATTTGAAAAAAAAAGTTCGATGCCGTTACGGCGCTCCAAAATTTTTTTTTCAAAAATCCGGCCCGTTATTTTTCTGTTCGGTATGCCTAAAACATATATACAAAATTTCAACAAAATCCGTCGAGCCGTTTTCTCAGAAAATTGCCAACAAACACATAGACGGAAAAAATTTTATTCTTTAAAAGTTGCTTAAAATGGTCTAAAACGTCGACATTTGATGAAATTTTGAAATGTTCAAAAAACGGCTATCGCAATAGCTACCTAGCACATGCTAGGAAGCTAAAAAGGCCCCCTTGCCTATGCAGAAGTACGCGATTAACCAAAAACTTCGTTATTGTCGAAGGGGGAATTCTCTTCCATGGTGCATTTATTATTAAACATTGATCGTTGATTGTAAGGGAAATGTAAAAGAAAACGGTTCACTTCTAACAATGTTTATTAAAGAATAAACGTAATTATCTCCAATTGAGTCATTAATTTGCATTGATTATATGCAACTCAATGGTTCACTGGTAAACGATCCTACAAGACACAATGTAAGAACTGAAATCCTAACAGGTTCATCAAGGAAGTCTGAGTCTAGGAGAAGGTGCGCTATTTCTGAAAAGAAGTTAACCCCCAAATGCTGAACAGTTGAATTGAACCCAAAATTTCCAGGTATAGATTTCAGTGAGAAAGAGGCAGTAACGGGATTTTGCGACATACGTAGGTATATAGCGAAAATGCAAGCCGTTTGCAAATATCAAACCCAATTACCAA